CTTTAATTCATTCCCAATGTATCCTTTTGTTTCTTCCTCTGTGTCCTTTGTTTACAGTTCTGGCCCTTGCCTCATCTTGCTGGTCCGCCAACTTGTAGTTCCCTGGCAAGAGCCAGTTCAGCCACGCCTCTTCTGTGATGCTTTCCCTAGCCACGTGATGAGAGCCCTTCTCCTCTGCATTTGGCATCACTGGATATGGTTCTCACTTCTCTTGCTGTGTTCACTACACTGTCTCAGTGGGTTCCAGGCTCCAGGAGTCAGATTCTGTGTTACTGAGCTCAGCAGAACATCTACAGAGAGTCTGCTCTCACTGTTTTTTGGATAAGGAGACAAGTGGTAAGGGGCTGAGAGCCTGAGCAAACCTGACCCCCTGTGTGTGACAAAGAAAGATATGTAAAGGGGTTCTGGAAGATACAAAGAGCCCAGAAGGCCAACAAATACTGCTGGGTCATGAGCTGCATGGAGTCACTAGGAGAGTCTACCATTAAACTAAAAAGTCATTGGACTATAAGGAACAACTTAAAGGTGCCTAAACTGTAGAATATATGTGGGTCAATTTTCGCAGTACCTATTTGCTGTATTTATGATGCCTTTTCTGCCACTTTGAGGTGTCACTGTGACCCACTCACTGAATTAACAACCTGATTATCCCTGTCCCTCACCAGCTGAAGGCAGTCTGCAACTCCTTTCCAGGCTCCAGTGATCAAAGGGCAGGGCCTCAGCAGTCCTCATCTTCTCCCCCGGTAGTTCTTTTCCCATGGTAGGTGTCAGTCTTTCTCAAGAAAACCCTCCATCCATCTCCACTACCTTCTGACATGCAGCTGAAAACTTTCCTATCACTATCTGAGCCCATTCTCCTCCTGACTATATCTACCACAGAGATCTAACTTGTTTCTGTAATGTGGAAGCCTTGGGAACTGAGTAGATACAAGTGAAAAACTCATGAACTAAACAGTGAGTTACCAGATAATCTAGCTCGTGAGGCCAGACTAGCATTTCTCTCAGGCATTTCAGAGACATTGTGTGTTGCTTTATACTATTCTTTAAGTAACTGGTCTAGGAGAACACAGGATGTAGGGCGTTGCCCACACAATTAAGTGCTTAGAAGCTCCATTTGCAGCCATTTTTCTTCCCAACTGCAACCCAAGACACACTGTGCAGCTGCACCAGCAGAGTAGAGGGCCAGATAGCCTCTGCCTACTACTCATAGGAACAGCAACCTCAAATCAATCATTTGCTCAGCAGACAGCCTTGAGTAGCTAAGTTTCCTTCAGGCAATAAGATGAATGGCTCAGACAGAAGCAGGCCGTTCCGAAGTTTTTTGGGGACATCTGTTCTTAGACACACTCAGGATTGCCTGTGAGACAGAGAGCAAGAGTGGAGTCCAGGGAACAGGTTGCCAAGAACTTTCTCTTTTTGAAGACAGGAAGAGACCCAAGGGAACTCAGGGGTAGGGCCAGGCTTGGTTCAGCTGCTGATATGCAGCTAGGCCAATTAAATAATGGGTGAGAAGGGGAAAGGATGGAAGCCACTCCTTTGAGGCAAACACCCACCTCCAACAGGAGGCTTCATACAGCTGTGGCAGCAGCAGCAACAGGGCTGGGATCTCTTCCTCTTCCTCTCACTAGCTGAGAGCTAATGCTTAAATTAGCACCTTGAAAACACCCAGTTCTGCTGGCTGTGCCTTCTCACTCCCCTCCTGCCACTCCCCCAGGCCTCCTTTCCAAACTGAGTTTGTCTTTCAAGTAAGAAGGAGAACAGGAACAAAAAAAAAAAAGTACACCCCACCTCATCTTTCTAAGTAAAGAATGATATCTGGGTTCTTTCCACTACCATATGTGTGGAAGGACTATTTGATGTTTAGGTGTCTATCTACACGGCTGGGTTCTGAAAGGAGTAACAGTTCTATTTTTCCTGGAGCCTGAGGAAGCAGCCCCAATTCTGCCCTCAAGGTGGTTAATGCAGAAAGTAAGAGAAATGTTTACTGGACTCACTAACTCTGAGCTCTGGGACGGTGGGGCTATGTCTGTATTACCATGTCCCTAACATCTAGTATAGTATCTGGAAAAGTGTAATGCTCAATAATTATTTGGTAAATTAATTTGCTGAATCAGCAGTGTCAGACTTCATGTGATTCTATAGCAGGGAGAATGAGGAGTTGTTGTTTAAATTCTAAATGGATAGTTTGTCTTCATTTTATAAATGGAAAGACAGTCCAGGGAAGAAAAGATTTCATATAGATCTCTAAAATGAAATGAAATGAAATGAAATAGATCATAGCATAGTTCAAGCCTGTTACTCTATTTTTTATGGTCTGCCCAAATATCCCTAAAGATCCATTCTGCCCTTTCCCTCTATGGTATGTTTCCCGATTCCTTATGCCTCACATGAAAGTTCCTGGGGAAGGGCTGGAGATTTAGCTCAGCGGCATAAGCACCTGCCTTGCAAGCAGGCGATCGTGAGTTCGATCCCTGGTACTGATAAAAATGAAAAAGACAAAAAAAAAAAAAAAAAAAAAAAAAAAACCACAGAAAGTTCCTGGGGAAATGTCACACAAGGTTCTGATGATCTCAATCAAATACAGGACACTTAAAGTCTAGAGACTACAACCTGGGAACAGATGTCAAGAAGTAGGGCAATGTCTAATGGGCCTCAAATAGGGATTAACCATATTACTATATCCACAAAAGTTATTCAACCTCAACAAACTATTGTCTTGCACATAAAGGGTACTTAAGCAACAAGGATCTAAGTCAGATGTAGCGGCATACACCACTAAGCCCGGCAACTCTGAGGGCTGGGGCAGAAGGACTATAAATTTAAAGCCAGCAATTTAGCAAGATTCTGTCTCAAAATAAAAAGGGCTGGGATATAGCTCAGTGGTAGACTCCTTTTCTAGCTAACCAGATACTATCAAATATCTCCTTGCTGTGAATAATTTTGCTACTCCAGGGCCACACAGACCAGAAGCAGCTCATAAGTTTTCTCCCAATATGAATTGCTATTAAGAACTTCAGGCAAGGCTGAGTGTGGTGGTACCAGGATGCTAGGACAGGGGACTGCTGTGAGTTTGAGGTCAGCTTGGGCTACATAGTGTTTTCAAAGCCAGCCTGAACCACATAGCAAGACCATCTCAAAACAAAAAAAACTTCAGGCTATATGACAGGCAGCAGGAACAAGGGAGAGATCCTGGTGGCCCTCTTCTCTTTCCTTGGACAGCTGTTACTTCCCTTCTCAGGAAGCCCAGGCAGGAGACAAAAATCAACTGGCTGCTTCCTTTTCCTAACTTACTTGAACCCTTTTACTCATCCTCTATTTTGGTTCTTGATTAGAAGCTTAGAATTGGACAATCCAGTTTGACAAGTAAGACTGGATAGAGAACCCATTAAGAAAAGTTAGCCTAACCCAGCCCCAAATCCTTCAAGTTCATGGGACAAACTTTTCTCCAGGATTATCTGACTTCCAAATAATTCAGTGGTGATATCAGACAAGGAAAAAGTTCTGCAACATCTCTGTCCTTAGTTTAACATTATACACTTCTGTTAATATTGTTTTCTGTTTTGGCTTCTACAACTAAATAATCACAAAAAGGGAAAAAAGTCACTTATCATTAAGTAGGTGGCCACTAATGATTTTATCATCCCCAAAAGGTGTGGCATATATATGATTATGGGTCCAGGCCAAGGCCCACCTTGGCTACTGCAATGGGCAGATTATTTGCCTTAAAAAGCCACAAAGCACTGTCTGTCAAGGTACTGCCCACCCATGGTTACAACATGTTCCTGGCCACCCTACCTAAAACACAGAGAGGAGTCTTTATAAGAGCCCCAGACTTCAGGATTTGGAGAGCTCAGTTCCAGCTCAGAGCTAAGAACACAGTATTCACACCTTCAGATTAGAGGCCTGCCTTGCCTCCTACTAGCTCCAGCTAGCTCGGAACGCAAGAGGAAAGAGAGTGCATTCAAGGATCATAGCCTGAGCGCTCCCTCCCCATCCCTCTGTACACTAGCCAGCTAGGCCTCTGCACTTCCTACCTAGTTGCCAGGCAGACAAAACTAGTCATGTAGACCCCACTAAGCTCCCTCCCCCCCCCCCCCGCGTTAGCCACCGGGCAGGTCTCCTTTAGGCCTGGCCTTCATAAACCCGAGTCACCCTCCCCTTTCCACCCCCTTGGCGCCGGCATCGATGACATCATTCCTCCCTGACTCAGGGACGGTGGACAGGCGGCAGGATCCGCGCGGGGCAAAGACTCCAAGCATGTAGGCCTAGGATGACAGGGGCTCTTCGGAAATGGTGGGCCCAGGCCGCCCAGCGCAGCCCCACCTCCTCTCTCGTCGGTATCCGAGCGCTCTCATCTGCACCCTTGACGCTCCATCTCGCTGCCGCACACTTTCCTTCCAGGTGCCAATGCCCTTAACCTGGACGCCTGCGTTCCCCTTCGGAGAAGAACGGAATCCCCAGGTCCTACACTGACTCTCTAGTTCCATCGGTCCCCGGCCTCAGGTCTGTGTTCTTGTCCTCATCCAGCGGACTGGCAAGCAGCGCCTCCTCTTCTAAAAGCCTATTTCCAGCCCCTCTCAGCCTGCAGGCTCCTCCGCCCCTCCCCCTCCCTAACCACCATAGGCCTTCAGGGCTAAACGCCTTCCCTCTTCCAGTCCCAGTCCCCGGTGCCTGCAGGCCGTGACAGTCTCTTTGCCATCCTCCTCTATCTGCCTCGACTAGTGGAGTACACCATTGTACCGCCCTCCGTTCCTTCCTACGGCGTTAGGCCTCAGCCGATGGCGCCCTCCGCCCTTCTGGGTCCCCTTGGTCGCACCTTGCGCATCCTCCCACGGTTTTCTCGTCTTGCAAGTCCCCCTTCGGTCATGCGTTTTCAGGGCTGATCCCCATACGAAGGCGCACCTTCTACACGATCCCCACGGCTCTATTCCCTTCCTCCCTCTCTCCCCTCAGGGGGCGCCCCCTCCCGGCCTTGGCCTGCCCGCCGCCCGCCCCCTCACCAGCGGCTGCATCTCCGAGTGCGCGGTGGGCACCTGGAACCGGTCGATCTCCTCCATCATGGTGCCGGCGAGCGGGCGGGCCAGGGGCCGGGCGCGGCCGGGAACGCCGACTGGACCGCGCGGGGCCCCAAGAGCCCGGCGGGTGGTGCAGAGGAGGCTGCCCGGGAAAGATCGGGCGGGCAGGCAGCGAGGCGGATGGACTGGTAGGCTGGGGGCGCGAGATTCGCAGTCAGGCTGAGGCCGACTTGGCTCCGTAGGCTTGCCCTGCGCTACCGCGGCTGTGGCCTGGCAGAGCTGCAGGTCTTGCCTCGCCTCCTCCTCTGCCACCGCCTCCTGTCAGCAGCTCAGCCACTGCGGTGACTCGGCAACTCCACTTCCGGGTCCGGGACACCGCCCGGCTACTGCATTATTCATAAGGAGGCGGGGTCCAGGTGTCCCAGGCCCGCCCACAGGCTGGGGCTCGAAGGCGCGCGACCACTTGACGCGTCCCGCCCCCCAGGGGGCGGGCGGATCCCCTTCGGCTCAGACCCGCCTTCACTCCCCCGCGAGGGCGGAAGACGGTAGCGCCTGCGCCTTGGCTGTCTGTCAGTTGCTAGGTAACCGCGTCAGGGAGGAGTTGATTCTATCCTACAAGATAGAATGGGGACCCACAACGACAGCTGTCCCCAGAGAACCCCTGCAACTGGGAATTGAAGTGGAAGTGAGTGTGGATTTCCTGTGTGTAGTCGAGACAGACAAACTTCTCGTCCTCAAGCAAGAGAGCGTTCCATAGACTTTGCAGGAGTTGAGGTACTCATTCCCTGCTTCTACCGAGATGGCTCCCAAACCGCCTCATAAGCAGGTAATCCTACCTAACCTGACCTCTGGCCTTCTGTTGCCCTCTCCTGCTGATCCCTGATCTTCCTTTCCTTATGTTTTGTTTTGTTTTTTGTGGGACTGGAGACTGAACCTGGGGCCTTCAAAGCAAGCTAGGTTCCCAGTTCTTAAATTTGGAGAAAAGGACCCTCCCATCACTGAGTTGCCGAGGCTAGGCTTGAGTTTTGATCCTGTGCTCATTTTGGTGTGCTTTTTTTTTCTTTTTCTTTTTTTCTTTGGTACCAGAGATTGAACTCACGACCTTGCACTTGCCAGGCAGTCGCTTATGCCCTGAGCTAAATCCCCAGCTGATCCTGTGCTCATATTACAGGTGTGTGCCAATGTCCGGCCTTTCCCTGTGGACCCCTAACTTCTCCCTGTGATCCTTGGTTTGTGCTTCTCAAACTTCTGACTCTGTCCTGCTGTCTCCCTAATCCTTTCCCACTCTTGAATACCCCCAACCCAGTGTTTTTACTTAGCTTTTCTCTCCCCATTTTCCTACCTTCTCTCAGTACTCACTCTACAGACCCACCCTGACCAGTCCATGCACCTTAATATTCCGGTTCCTGCTTCCACCAGTCCCTTCTTCATTGCATTCACATCCTGTCTCAAAGGAATTATTTCTGCAACCCTCTTCTGCCTGCCCAATACTAGACTGAGTGGGCATGCAGGCCTTGCCACTTGGGAGCCCACAGAGTGGGCACAAGGAGAAGGAGTGGATTATGTGCAGGAGTTTGGTTTGGATTTTTTTCTGGAAGACTTATGGAGAGGGAGAGGTCAGGAAGAGAGGAACAGAGAGGCCCTTTTCCCAACCCGACCCCTCATCCTTCATGCTCACCTTTCCTGTGAGCCTCTAGTTTATTTCCATAACTCATTTAACTCTATGGACTTGATGTCCTTGTTGCCACCTGGCCATATGCTATCCTTTCTCCCAGAAAACCCAAAAGTCTCCCAGAAACCCCTGACAACCCACTAAGTGCAGGGTTCTGTTTTCCTCCCAGCATCACCATGGAAAGCAAGGTAGTTGCAGCTTCTTGATGAGTCCTCTGTGGTAATAAAGGGTTGACTCCCTCAGAAATCCTTTTTCTGAATCCTTTATTATTGGCTGGATATTTCCTTTATTATTTGCTAGGCATTTTCTGACACATGGCTGTAATCTTAGCATGTGGGAAGCCGAAGCAGGAGGACCACTGTGTGTTTAAGGCCAGCCTGATCTGCATAACAAGGTCTAGTCTTGAAAAAACGAAACAAAACACAACAAAGAAGTCCTTTATGATTTGCCACTATGAGGCTGATATATTGTTCCTAGTTCTAAAGCAGAGCTTCTGTTTATTTATGTATGTATGTGTCTTTTTTTAATTGGTATTGAGGATCAAACTCAAGACCACACACTTGCAAGGCAGGCGCTTATGCCTCTGAGCTAAATCCCCAACCCTATATATTTGTCTTTTTGAGACAGGGTCTCACTATATAGTTCAGGATGGCTTGAGCTCACTTTGTAGCCCAGGCTGGTCTCAAACTTTCAATGATTCTCCTGCCTCACCCTTCCAAGTGCTGAGATTACAGGTATACGCCACTACACCTGGCTAGAACTTTGATTTACCAATCCTTTATTTTAAATTTTCCACACTCATACCTGAGTGTATCAAGCTTAGGGTTATAGATCATATCTATATCCATGCTTATTATGCCTTTATATAATTTTGGTTTGTCCTCTCCATGTTAATTGGATCCTCTGCTTCTTTGACCTGTTCTTCTGTAGGAGATGAACCTTTTTCTTAAATTTCTGTAGCCATAGGGAGGTGACTTCCTACATGGCCATGCTGTAGTTTTATGTTAAGATGAACGATTTTGAAGCTCATATACTGTTTGGATCTATTGAGCCTTAACACAAAGACAAATTGTTTGTTTGTTTTGCAGTACTGAATTTAACCCAGAGAGCACTTGCCTAGATCTTTTAATCATTAAAATTCTGAGATAGGGTCTTACAAAGTTGCCCAGACTGGCCTTGAACTTGCAGTCCTTCTACTTCAGCCTTCTAAGCTGTTGGGATTACAGGCACGTATCACCATGTGCTACTTGGCAGTTCACTTTCTTTCTTACTTTCTTTCCTTTTTTTTTTTTTTTTTTTTTTTTAACTGGGAATTAAACTCACGACCTCGCGTTTGCCAGGTAGACACTGTACTACTGAACTACATCCCCAGGTTTGTAGTTCATTTTCTTGACATTTTTAAGGTCTGGTTACATGCATACTATTTTAGTTCCATGTTTCAAGATTTTGAAAAAGCTTTACACTTGTGAACCACCACCACAATCAAGATATAGACCACTTCTATTCCAAGGGATTCCCTGGGCCTCAACTCAGTTCTCCTTACCCTCGAAACCCAGGTAACCATCGATCTGCTTTTTTTTTTTAACAATAGATTAACATTTTCTAGCATCTTGCAGTTTGAACAGCAAGCTTGGAGGTGAATTTCTCCAGCCTATTAGGGGAAACGTTAGAGACTAGTTACACTAAGAGCAGAAAGGGTCCACATCAAAGAAGAAGGAGAGACACCTGGACCAATGGACCTTGCCCATCTCAGCGCTCAGCACCATCTCTAGAGGGGAGAGTTACTGTAGTGCAGTGTAAGTGTGTGTAAGTGTGTGTTGGTATGTGGGGTGTAAGAATAGGCTCAGTTGTGTTTATCACCATCTTGTCTCAGTAAAACCCATTTGAGTCAGTGGTAAGTGGGTGTGGTATGATGTAGAGATGTTGAAGAAGTTGTCTTTGTCCCCTGGGAACTCAGTGCAGTAGGGGAGACAGAATACAGGCCTAGGAAGATAAGGAAAATGGGATCCTTGGCTGAACTCAGGAAGGTGTGTTGGTTGAAGCAGCAGAAGGATGCAAGGGGGAGGCAGAAAGGACTCAGATGCTTGTAGCGATGAGGGAAAGTTGAGATTGGGTTTGTTAGGAGGTAGAGAGCAATTGAAATTTGACTTATGTCATTCCACTAATCAGAAATTTTATAGGCCCCTGTTGCTCTCGGGATAAAGTTCCAAGAGTCCAGTTTGCTTGGTATGGCCCACAAGGTCCTCCACTCTCTGGTCATTGCTACTCCTCCCACTTCAGACCTCACTATTGTTCTATGAAAATTCTACAGTCCCTGGACACTGAGCCACTTTGCATTCTGCAGAGTGATAGCTACACCCTCTCCTTCAAGCCTTAGAAACTGCTGGTATCCTGCAATATTTTCAATCTGCTGGTACCTGCTCCACCCCACTCCACTCTAAATCTCTCTTTCATGTCCATCTCTTGTTGATTCTTTGCTGGTTTAGTTTATTTGGAGTTTTTTGTTTGTTTGTTTGTTTGTTTTTTGAGTCAGGATCTTGCTTTGTAGTTCAACTTGGTCCTGAAGTCACTATGTAGCTTGAGCTGGCCTCAAACTCATGGCAGTCTTCCTGATGGCTGAAATCATAGGTGGTGCCACCATGTCTGGCTTCTTGTTCATTCTTAAGATCTCACTTTGGCCTTCATATTCTCCTGTAAGAGAATAGCTCCTTTTCTGCAGGCAGGTCAGAGTGGTAGCCCTACGACACTATCAACTCTCTCATGGCAAGGACCCAATCTGTCTTCTTGTTCTTTGTTGATTCCTCAATACCTAGCATGGTGTCTGGGATATGTTAAATTCTGAGAAAATGAGTTCAACATGAATTCTGAGTGATGAGGATGTTCTTCAGAAATTTTCATATGCATGTGTTTGAGGGACAGGAAGGATGGAACCTAGGATGGAAAGTGATATAAAGGGGCACCTAGTGGGAAGAGATAAAAAGAAAAATGCACTAAGTTAGCTTTTTAAAGTTTTTTTTTATTTTAAAGAGAATAAAATAGAACAAAGCAGATCAGAACAAAACAATACAATCAACACAGGATTTCAAAACAAGACAGCAGGAAATCAACAGTGGTTACCATAATGTCTCATTTTCTTCAAAATAGTTGTTCACATCTTCACACACAATGAATTCAAACAAGACAAAATAGTATAAAACCAAAACAAAGAATGAAAGCATTACAGGCCTTCAAAACCAGACAATAGGAAAATCAATAAAGGCTACCATAATGTCTCTTGTTCTCTTCAAAATATTTGACAATACCTTCACACATATTTAAATTAAATAATACAAAACAGACTAAAGCCAATCAAAATAAAGAATAAAAGCATTATTGGACTTCACAACAAGATGATAGGAAATCAGCAATGGCTACCATAATGTCTTATTTTCTTCAAAGTGTCTGTTCATACCACCGCATGAAATAAAATCAGTTCTTGTAAACTTTTTAGGAGAAGCTCTAGGCATGTATGAGCCGATACGCGTACATCTATCCTTTCTGTATTAGAAGGAAAAACCAAACCAAACCAAACAAATACAAGAAAAGCAAGAAACAAAAGAGACAAATAAATAACAATAATAAAGAGCAATAATGAAGCCCCAAACAATGACAATATAGTCTTTCAAAACAAGGTGATAGGAACATAACCAAGGTTGTTATTTTGCATAGTTATCTTCAAAAGTGTTACTCAGATTACCAGATTTATACATGCAAAATTGATCTAATCCTTTGAATGTTAACCATTTTGTTCCAAGAACTAACAGAATTAGTAGCATAGTCACTTTAGCTATCTTAAGCTAAAAGATATAAATTTGTGTGTGTATATGTACATATATATATATGTTTTTTCTTTTCCCTGAGTTATTTCTTACCCTTTCACAGTATTTATTGAAGATTTTGTATCTTATTTACTCTTTTAGTTTCTTACACTAGGGAGACAATAAGGTGTTTACACATGTGAGTTTGATTTATTTTATTATGAATATGGTTTCAAGTTGCATCCATTTACCTATAAAAAGCCTCAGTGTGATCCTTCTTTATAACTGAGTAGTACTCTGCATCTTTTTTATCCATTCCTCAGCTGATGGGCATTTAGGTTGCTTCCAAGATCTAGC